GGTTGTGGATAGACATGACTACCAATGCCACACGGCATGGACTATGGAAGATCATCTGTGTCAGAGTTGATTGAAAGTAGACGAGACAGAAGGTTGTGGATAGACATGACTACCAATGCCACACGGCATGGACTATGGAAGATCATCTGTGTCAGAGTTGATTGAAAGTAGACGAGACAGAAGGTTGTGGATAGACATGACTACCAATGCCACACGGCATGGACTATGGAAGATCATCTGTGTCAGAGTTGATTGAAAGTAGACGAGACAGAAGGTTGTGGATAGACATGACTACCAATGCCACACGGCATGGACTATGGAAGATCATCTGTGTCAGAGTTGATTGAAAGTAGACGAGACAGAAGGTTGTGGATAGACATGACTACCAATGCCACACGGCATGGACTATGGAAGATCATCTGTGTCAGAGTTGATTGAAAGTAGACGAGACAGAAGGTTGTGGATAGACATGACTACCAATGCCACACGGCATGGACTATGGAAGATCATCTGTGTCAGAGTTGATTGAAAGTAGACGAGACAGAAGGTTGTGGATAGACATGACTACCAATGCCACACGGCATGGACTATGGAAGATCATCTGTGTCAGAGTTGATTGAAAGTAGACGAGACAGAAGGTTGTGGATAGACATGACTACCAATGCCACACGGCATGGACTATGGAAGTTCATCTGTGTCAGAGTTGATTGAAAGTAGACGAGACAGAAGGTTGTGGATAGACATGACTACCAATGCCACACAGCATGGACTATGGAAGATCATCTGTGTCAGAGTTGATTGAAAGTAGACGAGACAGAAGGTTGTGGATAGACATGACTACCAATGCCACACGGCATGGACTATGGAAGATCATCTGTGTCAGAGTTGATTGAAAGTAGACGAGACAGAAGGTTGTGGATAGACATGACTACCAATGCCACACGGCATGGACTATGGAAGATCATCTGTGTCAGAGTTGATTGAAAGTAGACAGACAGAAGGTTGTGGATAGACATGACTACCAATGCCACACGGCATGTACTATGGAAGATCATCTGTGTCAGAGTTGATTGAAAGTAGACGAGACAGAAGGTTGTGGATAGACATGACTACCAATGCCACACGGCATGGACTATGGAAGATCATCTGTGTCAGAGTTGATTGAAAGTAGACGAGACAGAAGGTTGTGGATAGACATGACTACCAACGTCACACAGCATGGACTATGGGAGATCATCTGTGTCAGAGTTGATTGAAAGTAGACGAGACAGAAGGTTGTGGATAGACATGACTACCAACGTCACACAGCATGGACTATGGGAGATCATCTGTGTCAGAGTTGATTGAAAGTAGACGAGACAGAAGGTTGTGGATAGACATGACTACCAATGCCACACGGCATGTACTATGGAAGATCATCTGTGTCAGAGTTGATTGAAAGTAGACGAGACAGAAGGTTGTGGATAGACATGACTACCAATGCCACACGGCACGAACTATGGAAGATCATCTGTGTCAGAGTTGATTGAAAGTAGACGAGACAGAAGGTTGTGGATAGACATGACTACCAATGCCACACGGCATGTACTATGGAAGATCATCTGTGTCAGAGTTGATTGAAAGTAGACGAGACAGAAGGTTGTGGATAGACATGACTAGCAATGCCACACGGCACGAACTATGGAAGATCATCTGTGTCAGAGTTGATTGAAAGTAGACGAGACAGAAGGTTGTGGATAGACATGACTACCAACGTCACACAGCATGGACTATGGGAGATCATCTGTGTCAGAGTTGATTGAAAGTAGACGAGACAGAAGGTTGTGGATAGACATGACTACCAATGCCACACGGCACGAACTATGGAAGATCATCTGTGTCAGAGTTGATTGAAAGTAGACGAGACAGAAGGTTGTGGATAGACATGACTACCAATGCCACACGGCACGAACTATGGAAGATCATCTGTGTCAGAGTTGATTGAAAGTAGACGAGACAGAAGGTTGTGGATAGACATGACTACCAATGCCACACGGCACGAACTATGGAAGATCATCTGTGTCAGAGTTGATTGAAAGTAGACGAGACAGAAGGTTGTGGATAGACATGACTACCAATGCCACACGGCATGGACTATGGAAGATCATCTGTGTCAGAGTTGATTGAAAGTAGACGAGACAGAAGGTTGTGGATAGACATGACTACCAATGCCACACGGCATGGACTATGGAAGATCATCTGTGTCAGAGTTGATTGAAAGTAGACGAGACAGAAGGTTGTGGATAGACATGACTACCAATGCCACACAGCATGTACTATGGAAGATCATCTGTGTCAGAGTTGATTGAAAGTAGACGAGACAGAAGGTTGTGGATAGACATGACTACCAACGTCACACGGCATGGACTATGGAAGATCATCTGTGTCAGAGTTGATTGAAAGTAGACGAGACAGAAGGTTGTGGATAGACATGACTACCAATGCCACACGGCATGGACTATGGAAGATCATCTGTGTCAGAGTTGATTGAAAGTAGACGAGACAGAAGGTTGTGGATAGACATGACTACCAATGCCACACGGCACGAACTATGGAAGATCATCTGTGTCAGAGTTGATTGAAAGTAGACGAGACAGAAGGTTGTGGATAGACATGACTACCAACGTCACACAGCATGGACTATGGGAGATCATCTGTGTCAGAGTTGATTGAAAGTAGACGAGACAGAAGGTTGTGGATAGACATGACTACCAATGCCACACGGCACGAACTATGGAAGATCATCTGTGTCAGAGTTGATTGAAAGTAGACGAGACAGAAGGTTGTGGATAGACATGACTACCAATGCCACACGGCACGAACTATGGAAGATCATCTGTGTCAGAGTTGATTGAAAGTAGACGAGACAGAAGGTTGTGGATAGACATGACTACCAATGCCACACGGCATGGACTTTAAAAAGAAGAAAAACACTACCTAAGCAAGAACTGGCCTGTTAACTCTTATTACCTTCTCAGTCATTTATTTCCTGTTTGTTCATTCTCAAGAGGCTGTAATTTTTAAGGCATTTACTTTTTATAATTATTTTAAAAGAGTTATCAGCATCTGTGGTGTAGGCATTGCAGTTGCCCTACCTAATTCCAGGGTGCCGGGTTCGATCCCATCTGTTGATGATTTGGCAGCAGACCGTTGGCTTGTGTTGTTTTCAACAGTGGTACAGAGGCTGACCATTCAGTAAAAGTGCCAAACTTCTGAATGCCTAATGGAATCACAAACAGCCAAACAATGCTGGGGTTGGGTCCGCAAAGGATCCACAACTAATCTTTTTGGTGCTTTATTAATATCCTACCCCCAGATGATGTCACAGGATAATTCAACATTTTAGGGACGGGTAAAACTGGGTTTTCCGGCTTTTAACGACCCCCAAAACATCTAGAACTGGCCCTAACCCCAACCCACCTACGTCCCATGAGAGAGTGCAGCCTTCCTAGGTCCCGCGACTGCATGCAGCCTAGGTTCTACGACTGCATGTAGTCTCTACCAATTCCCCCCCCCCCCCCCCCACCCCCCCCCCCCAAATATTACACTGTCATATGACCTGTGAATTTTCCCCGTTTGGGGTAAGATATTATTAAAGCGCCAACTTTGTTTGTTTGTTTGTTAAAGGGGTTAAAAAGAGGCACCATGGAACATAAAATTAAATAGACAACTTAGAGAATGGGTTAATGTGACCTCTGTGACTGAAAAAGTTAAAAACTACACATACTTTAGTGTGACTGAAAATATATGACGAGTCATTGGGTAGCCTGTGAGTTAGCATTCACTGAAACAGTCACTGGTCTTTCATTATTAACCTAAGGTTGTGACTATGTTAGAATCAGTTATTAATCAGTTCTCTTTACGCCTACTGGCACATGAGGCTCCAGAGAGGACTTGCCATGCTTTCCTGTCCTGTGCCACCTTCAGTGCAGTTTTCCATGTCAGAGATGCCGCATTCAGGTCACTCTCCATCATTTGTTGTTTTTGGGCACCCCTTCTCTCTCTTTCCTGTTTTGGCAGGTATACTAGGATTCATTCTCATGACTTGCCAAGTTATTAGCCAGCTATGTTAGGATGGAATAAAGTTAAGTTAAAAGTCAAGAGGATCGACTGCATTGCACTAGGTTTGATCCCAGATGACTCAGTCTCTCAGCTAGCCACCTGCTGAGAACATCACACAGAGCACAAACTCCGTAGACAATCCCCAGAGATCTCCATAAAATTGGCACTCGTAAAGTGAACAGGGCAGCCGTGAAACGAACCTACAACCTTCAGAGCTCGAGGCAAACAGATTGACCACTTCGCTTTGGAGTCCCCCTCGAATGAAGTATTAAACTTATGATATGTCTTCTTTTTCTTCTTTGTTGAATTTCCTGCAAATATGGCAGCAATGTCCAATTTGCAGTCCTAACTAGACTGGTCTGCGTCTTTGAAGTGATGAAGTAGATAACACTTTCAGGATTGTATTCTGCATGGTAAGTGTTCTAATGGCTTCCTTGTTCTGGGTTTTGTATTCCCCATAAGTGCATCTGCTGTTCTGTATTGTTGTTGGCACATGTCCATCTTTCCAGGTGACATTATATTATTCAGTGGGGAGGCGTGGGAATAAAGTTCTTCTTCTCCATAGCCGTGAAGAAGCCTGGGCCGTATTGTAGATGCAATGTGTTACCCATGCATCATGATCACTCTCTTGACCTGTCTTGTTTACTCCAGAGAAAATGTAACATTAATACGTGTGGAACAAATGCTGAAGAAGCTGCTGGATCAGAAGATCAGTGCTCTGTCCACCTGACAGAACTATCCTCCTAGACCAGTGCCAGCCAGGGCAAGGACCAGTGCCAGCCTTATGTAACATAAATTGCACAACAGGATAATATGACCACATTCAATTTGTGATATCTGACTGAACTGAATTAACACTGTCTGTCGTTACCAGGTATCTTTTAACTAGCCTGCTAAATATGTTGGACCACAAAATGAAGTCCAACAGATTTTTGTTGCTGTACGGCTCTGCCACCGGACAAGCACAAGCCATTGCTGAAGAGATTGCGGAGAAAGCTCCAAGTTTTGGCCTGGCTGCCGAACTCCATTCCCTGGATGACACAGGAAAGAAGGTTTGTTTTGGCCTGTTAAGGTTGACTGTCAGATATCTCCACATAGGGGCACTAGAACCTTGGGAGGGGGGCTTAGGCATCTCTCTGCCGAAACAAATGAACTTAGATGCACTAGTTGGCCATACATCCCAGTACACTTGTTTTTCCAGGAAGGTGTTGTCATTTGGAGGGGACAGGTTCGTTTCCCATGATGGACACTATAGCTTTTGATTTTAGTATTGTCTAGTGCATCCTTCTATCTTTCTGCTTCTTTCTGTGAGTGCAGATCAATACATATTTGTGTTTGTTTATTATATATAAAAGGTCTACAGACTAGGAAAGAAAGAGAAAATAAATTGCTTCTTCTCCAGCAGTCTTGGATGTTTCAGGTTCCTTTTGCAGATATCACCTATTTCTGTGACTGGACTTCTCTTTCATGTTGTTGGCACCCAAGTGTTTGTAGGTCCATCTGTATACATTATCTCTTCACCGTCTTCTTGGTCTACTCCCATTCAGTCCTTCTGTGTACACTGTGTCTCTCTTATCTGGCATCTCTCTTCAACTATTGCTGTCTCTTAGCTTTATTAACGCCAGTAATTAGCTGTGGTTTAAACAGATTAAGATCTTCCTTGTTGTTTTTCTCTTCATTCTCCACTGTTTGCATTGTTTGTTGGGTCAGAAGATTCATCATAAGACTAGATAGATTGCAGTCTGTTTAATTATGCCATTTAAAGACACTGTTTGTGATCTTCAGTTCAACATAGAGGAGAAGTGACTTTGTCTGGTAATTGTTACTTTCATGACATATAGTCCGTGTAATTATGCCATCAGATGACAGTTTCTGATCTTAGTTCAACATAGAGAAGTGTCTTGTAATTATAACTTCCATGACATAGTCTGTTTAATTAGGTCTTTCAATAACACTGTTTCTGATCTTCATCTGAGCATAGAGAAGTGTTTTGTAATTATTACATTCATGACACATAGTCTGTAATTATGTCATTAAAAGACGCTGTTTATGATCTTCAGTTCAACATAGAGAAGGAGAAGTGTGTTTGTCATTATTACTTCCACGACACATAGTGAAGTCTGTAATTATGTCATTAAAAGCACTGTTTCTGATCTTCACTTCAACATAGAGAAGGAGAAGTGTGTTTGTCATTATTACATTCATGACACATAGTCTGTAATTATGTCATTAAAAAAAACACTGTTTCTGATCTTCAGTTCAACATAGAGAAGGAGAAGTGTGTTGTCATTATTACATTCATGACACATAGTCTGTAATTATGTCATTAAAAAAAACACTGTTTCTGATCTTCAGTTCAACATAGAGAAGGAAAAGTGTGTTGTCATTATTACTTCCACAACCGGAGATGGGGATCCACCAGACAATGCCCAGAAATTTCTGAGAAGACTGCGTAAGAGAACTTTGAGCCGTGACTATTTGGCACACTTGCACTACGCGTTGTTAGGTAAGTTCACAGCAGATTCTTCCCTTGGTTGCTGCATTGATTATTTATTATCTTTTTGTTAGTTTGTTTCCTGGGGATTATAGAGCTGCAACAGTTGCATGGGAAAAAGTCCTGAACTTTTTAGAAAACTGACTGGAAATCCAGCTAATCATGAAAAAATCTGCAAAGAGATTGGCATGAATTGGTTACGGACCTATGCTCCATAGGGGATAAAAGGCAGCAGGTTATAATGACTAGGGCACACAGTTATGAAACTTTTTTTCCCGGAGGAATTAAGTAGTTTATGAACATTCAGAGAGTTGCTTGTATGACTTTAACCTATCTGTTATACAGTAACATCTGTAAGTGGCTATTCATTATGTGTACAAATCATGTCATTGGCTATTCATTATGTGTACTAGTCATGTCATTGGCTATTTCATTATGTGTACTAATCATGTCATTGGCTATTCATTATGTGTACTAATCATGTAATTGGCTATTTCATTATGTGTACTAATCATGTCATTGGCTATTTCATTATGTGTACTAATCATGTCATTGGCTATTCATTATGTGTACTAATCATGTCATTGGCTATTTCATTATGTGTACTAATCATGTCATTGACTATTTCATTATGTGTACTAATCATGTCATTGACTATTTCATTATGTGTACTAATCATCTGTTTGGCTATTAATTATGTGTACCAATCATGTGACTGGCTATCTTTATATGAACTTACAATATGACTGGCTGTTTTTTTTAAATTTGTTTTGATCACTTGATTAGCTATCATTTATATGTAATAATCATGTGATTGGCTATTCCTCACATGTTTCAGTCATGTGATTGACTCTGCTTTATGTAGGCTAATAATGTATGTGACTGACTTCTCTTCCGTCTGTACCATGAGGAGGTGAAGGTGGCTTGTGTGGCCACTGGGCAGCAGCAGGTTGCTAGTTTTCCCGTTTTCACCCTCCCAGGAGAGTTCGCCGCCCCCAGCACTTGCGGCAAATACTGAGTGTATGCCAGCTTATGGGACACATTTTCAAATTTTATTTTGTTTTCAAACCCCCCCCCCCCCCCAATGTTTTATAGCTTTAATGCAGTTACCTCATTTTTGGACATTTGGGGAGGGGGGGGGGGTTAGGTCTATTCATCACCCCACCACCCCTCAAATGTTGCCCCTGTAACCTACACAGGTAATTTAAATAAATTATATTACGCTTTTTATGTGAATGAAGGTTTGCATAATTCTGTTTGCTCACATGTTAAATGTTTGCTCATATGTTAAATGTTTGCTCATATGTTAAATGTTTGCTCATATGTTAAATGTTTGCTCAGGTCTTGGCGACTCAAACTACTCCAACTTTTGCCGGTGTGCTCGAGACTTGGACAGCCGATTAGAGGAGCTCGGGGCTCAGAGATTCTACCCAACTGGTTTGGCAGACGATGGGGTCGGGTGAGTGGTGGACCAAGAAATGTATCATGTGCTGATTAGTAACTAATTTAACTGTCCTCTGGGACCAAAAGAGTTAAAAGGAATTGACACATGACTACTCCTGCAACCATCATCTTTGATTTAAAAAAAGTTAGTTGCATATCCTATACAGGACGTTGCAGAACCAACCCCTGCATTTTTTTTTTTTTTGCTGTTGTGTTTTTTTTCTAGGCAAGTTTATGTCCAGTAGTTTGCCATTTCTTTCTGGACGGTCGGCTTCTCGATACCACTGTCAAAAACAGCCAAGGCCCACAGCTGGGATCGAACTCGGCGTTACGAAGCACATTCGCAACGCCCAAGCTACAGACGCCAACCATCTTTGATAAAGAGTGCATATATTTAGTTATCATCATCAATTTCCACTTTTGCCATTAATCATCATGAGGGTGAATGATTTGCCATCCTTTGACTGAACTTTAAGGGAAAATAGGTAATGTGACCTGCCTGGGAGCTGCGGTGGCAGTAGCTAGATGCTTGGCTGAAGGTCTCAGGTTCAAGTAGTTTTACCCCGTGTAGGTTCTGGAGCTCTATTGTAGGGAAAACAAGAATAGACCCACTGCCTACTCAGAAGCATGACGTAAGAGTCGACTAACAACCATAACTTGCCGCCAGAGTTTACAACTGGTGAACGTGAATAGGAACAAGAGCACTGTGTTATCCAATGTAGCATGAATACATTTAAACATTATGTTTACAAATATTCTACTCCTGTCTAGTAGACTAAGGTTTAGAGCAGCCCTGTTGAGTACTTATTCTGTTTATTACTGCCAAATTTATTACATATTTTAATGGCATAGAGTAGTTACTTCAGGGTCATTTCTTCTCTATATGCTATGTTGTTGTTTTATTTTGCTGATAAAGGCAGTGTCACTTGTTTCAGGCAGTCAGTCAGAATATCCTTTATAGAATGTCACTCTCTTCGTGGCACGCATTCAAGTCCCTCTGTCTGGCCAGTTCTCCAGCCCCGTGTGCTTTCATAGCAGATGCATGTTCAGTGTCCTTTATCCACCTGCGCAGAGGTTGACCTCTACCTCTTTCTTCAGAAATTGCACCCTGCATTACCTTTCTCTCCAGACCGCAGTGGCACTTGACCTGTCCAAAATACTTCAGCTTTTGGTAAAGGATGCTGTTTATGAGCCAGTTTTCCTTGAGATTCACGTCATGCTGGATGTCAGTGTTTTCTTTTTCTTGGTCCACAGTATTCTAATAAACTGACTGTAGCATTTCAGTTCAGAAGCTCTGATTTTCTTCTTCAAAGAGAGTCCAGGAATCACATCCACAATTTGCCACAGGAAAGATGCATGATCTCACAATTTTCACTTTAATCCGCTTGCAGGTGCTATTTCACAGGTTCTTCATGCTGTTCACTGTTTCTTATTTTTCAACTGTAATTATAGCTGACATACTTTCTATTTGAATTTGTATAAATTCTGCAGTAAAGTGATTGACCACTAGCCCAAAGGTCTTGGATCCGAGTCCACGCTGGAGCAGATTTGTACAGTAATTTTCAATGGCTTCCAGGTCAGCCAAGTCTAATGGGTACCAGAAAATGTTATGGGAAGTTGTCACAGTGTTGACCCCCATCACCTGTCAGGTGTTGATTGGTCTTAACAGTTTGAGTCTAGCACCATTTACCAATAGCCTGGCTGGAGTCGTAGACCTTTACTTGGGCAAGCTTTCTCAGTGACTCACTGAGTGATCAGGAAGATAGAGATAGGCTGGCCCCAAAGACAGTGGTTGGTGTCTCTGAGGCGGTCACGGTAACCACAGATCAAGTTTAATTGTTCGATGCATGCAGGTGTACAAGGAAAGTAACAAGCTGATTGTCTTGTAGGTAAAGCTATGGAAAAGAGTGGATGCACCATGGACTAGTCTGGAATATTGATTGCTCTATATAAAATAAGACTTATGTGAGAACCAAGTGATGACTGAATCTGCAACCACGATCAGACTGCAAGAACAGCAAGTTAAAAGGGGTGTGGCCAGGCAAGAGCACTCTGCAAGGAGCCAAAGTTAAATAATAAACCAGCATAGAACCAGTGTCTCAGCTGCCTTATGCTGTGGGATGTACTGAGAAGAGAATCTGAGCACCTTTGGACCGAATGGTTTGGTGTGAAACAAGGGTGATCCGTCAACTAACTGACCATTTACTCACATATCACTGAAGACCAGACTTTTTTTATTTAAACATAGTGCTGTCTCTGTAACTAAATGCCAGTTATTCTTTATAACAAACAGACAAAACACACACATTTTTTTCCCTTTATGACAAAAATACCAGTTTGTCACTTATAATTTTTCTTTTGATTAAATAGGCTGGAGATTGTGGCAGACCCATGGCTGGAAGGATTGTACCCAGCTCTACAGAAATTCCTCGGCGTCACTGGCACAGGTGTAGTGGCCTTAACCGAAACTGTACAGTCTTTGCATCTCTCAGAAGCAGACAGTCGGGAACCTGTGAACAAACTAGAGCATAACCAGAACACTGAAGAAACTTCACAGAGCTCTTTACCCAATGGGAGCATTAATTTAGCTGGAGCTTCAATTCCTGAAGACAAAGGAGCATTTTCAGATGTGGCCTCCTCGAGGCTGCTCCAGAACATTCCGTCCTTAAATGAAAGCATAGATGAATCGGTGCATTCATGTGCCAGCTTTAGGGACAGTGTTAACATTGCCTCTAATACTGTTGTCGATCATGATGTATCTAATTCTACAAGAGTTAGTGATACATATATGGTAGCAAACTCTTTAGCAACAGAGGCTTCTTCAAAGTTAAATACACCATCATTTGAAGATAAACCTACAGCAGACCCTCTGTCTTCACATATACTAAGTGAAAATACTAAAGACCTTATTTCCAGCAGCTGTAATTTACAAAGTGTTGCTGTTGTTTTAGATACGACTGTTGGTAATACAGGTGAGGTGACCGATGAGTCACTGGGAGAAACATCTTGTGTGCCGTCTTTATCTCAACCACACAGCTGCCCGCTGCCTATCACCCATTCACAACCCCCATTATCAGAGCAGGCGTTGACAATACCTGTGCTGCCTCCTGCATACCTATCTGCCACATTTGGAGGGGATCCTGTTGAGGTAGGTTTTATATTTTTCATTTTCGTCTGCATTTTCTCTTAACCTATCGGCCAAACAGCAAAATAACCGATAATATAAGCCTAAATATTTGCTCGCTGGTCTTCACCAGCCGGTCAAATTAGTTCTCACATTTCTTGTACATGTGGGCTGTTCGCTGACATTTTTTTTGGTTCTGTAATTTTACATTGATTTTTTTTAGGGGTGTTACCTGTGCCCAACAATGGTGAAAAGGACTGTTGCGTGATAGCAACCAAAACATAGTAAGAAGCAGGAAAAGGAGTAGAACCATGTGTCTAAAGGGTCTCCGTGGTCCTTGTTTCCCAGAACACAAGTGTTAGGGCTTATTCAGCCTTCATTAACAGAAAATTTAACAGTTAAATTTAGTCATGTTTGTCCTAAGTTAAAACAGAAAATGCATGCATAAATATTCAAATTGGCATAGCTAATTTTAATAAATATTGAGCTGTTAGTGTGATTCATAAAGATTATCTTAGCTCATTCAGTTTCCTACAAGAATATATACAGATTTGTAATTGCTAATTAAATAATTAATTTTTGTATAAAAAAAAATTTTTGTAAGCAAATTAAGAGAATCCCTTCCTGAAGGGTGCTGTCTTTTTGGCACTGAACTACAAATAAGGCTATATCTCCAAAGGGTTACAAGGGCAGTTGGCAGGTTGGGTTATAAACATCTGATTTCAGCTAGCCCTTAGTTGTTTCGGTCCGGGATAGGGTTGAATTCAGCAGTCTTTGCCAAAGTGTTTGTATCCTAGAGCAACGACTGTTTAGTCTCACAGACCTGAAAAATACAGCTTTGGAAGAAAATGTATTATAAAAACAATAGGAAAATAATGGGTTAACATATGATTATATAGGGACAGGAAAGTAAAGAAATCTGTACCATGTATAGTGTAACCAGTGAACGTAATGTGAGTCCGTAGCTCTGAAAATTTTAAGATGCCACATGTATATATCAGTTAAATATTTCTGGACAATAATAAATAAATAAGAATAATAAAGATCGACTTAGGAACGATGATATCAGGAGGAGAATCGGCACAGAACTGAACTTTATAGGTGGACAACAAATCAAATGGTTTGGCCATGTAACAAGATTGGCAGCAGACAGGGCACCACAGTCAGCAATGTTATACAGATACTGACCTAGAGGTTGACCACGCAGAATATATATGGACTGCAGAAATATCAGACACCGAAAAGTACTATATACGAAGCGAACAGAAGAGCTCGTTCCAGAGATCTCTGACTCCCCTGACACTGCGAGGCATTCCATTCCTGGGGTAGAGAAAAGAAGAAAGAAGAATATTTCTGTTAAAATACCAGTTTAAAATACCAGCAGTCATTCTCTGTGACTCTTTTCATACATACAAAAATAGCCAGCCATCAGCTGTAGAGGGAATTGAACAGTCTGTTTATGAAAGTATTGGTTTATTGCAATCAACCATCATTGGAGGGGCAGCAGCAAATTGATGATTTTCATTTTTGAATAAATGTTAGATCTCCACGTTGACTTACCAGAATGGGTGCAAACTGCCGTGTGCAGCATCAGAAGTGTTTAAAGTGCCGATATTGTCAGCCCAAATCCTTACAGCACCTGACGCGGTGAAGAAAACTTTACTGCTGAGGCTTGATATCAAGGTGAGTGGACAGGTTTTTTACGATTCTAGACTTTTTTTTTTTCATTTTATCATTTGGATGTGACATTCAACAATCAGCAAGTCTTTTACAGGATGTCGCTCTCTTCACGGCACGCCTGAAAGTATCTCTTTCTCTAGCCAGCTCTCCAACCCCATGTGCTTTCATTTTCATCTTCAATATCCTTCATCCATCTTTGCGGAGGTCAACTCCTGCCTCGCCTTCCTCAAACTGCACCCTCCAACACCGTCTTTTCCAAGCCACTATGACGCTTGATGTTTATGAGCCAGTCCTCCTGAATTGGCCATTGAGTTAACCGTATGTGTCGATTCCTCCCCACCAAATATATGGTTGACGCATTCCGTTTCTGGGGACAGCTTTTATCGAGTTTGCTCTCTAGACAGTTGCAGTCCCCTGCTGACGAGATTCTGTCTTCCCGAGTGGACCGCCGCGATCAAAACATTGCGAAGGCAGCGTGGTCGAGGCTGCCAAAACTATCGGTCATTATCCCGCCCCGACACAGCACAACCACAATACACGCTGTTCCCACGAAAAACACATAATATCCTGCGTTGGAAATGCGCATAAAATAGCAGTCCATGATTATAGAACAGAATAATCCGAGAGAATTGACAGCCAGCGACAAAAAACACAGCTGCTGTCCGCCATTTTGAAAACCCTCCTGAATTAACTCGTGTAGACTGTCAATGTGAAATAATGTTGTTTGTTGATTTTAAAGAGCGGTATTGAAACCTTAAGGTCTTGTCCCAATTTCTAAAAGGTAAACATGCCTCTGCCTTCCTAATTAGTGCATTATTATAAATGGAGTGCCTAGATAGTCACAGCTTCAGAGGTCCCGGGTAGTTAGCATCCTTGGGATATTTTTTTTCAGGTTATGCTGGTGTGTTAGGAAACGAGCAGGCAGATAGACAAGCTAGATGTTGTTTGGGCCCTTTGGGAGCGAGTTAGCAGTCCAGAGAGACAAATAGATCATTACTGTCTGAGGAGAATGGCGCTATAGGGAATTACCAGGGGATCTAGCCGATGCTCAACACTCAAGGGAAAGGCAAGAGGATGTACAAGCAGACAGTTACTGGTACCATTTGAATAAGAACTCTTCTTCGCTTGCTGCTGAAGATGGGGACCGAGTGCTCATGGAAGTGTCAGAGTGCTGTTATGTCATTTCTTAATTCAACATTCAGCTTATAGGTTTAAAGATGGGAGAGCTTTTAATCAAGCTGCCATTGGTACTCAGGTAATTACAAACTTTATAGCAAACAGGTCACCACTTATTTTTTGTGTTCCTGTGCCAATAAAAGCTACACAGTATTTCCATCACTGGCCCTTGGCACATATGAAGGCATAAGGCAGCAGACAAAAGTGGCAACACAAACAGTCCAAGACTAGAAATGCTGTTCATCTACGATGGAAGCAGCAAGTTACAACAGATTGGAAGTTGCACATGCAGTTAACTGCATAAGGCGCCACTCGCCATTTTCTTATATATATAGTGTCCTTTACCATACTTACACTGCACCTGTTTGTTTCCAGGGATGTGGTCTGCAGTACAGTCCTGGAGACTCTATTTCTATCATCTGTCCCAACAACCCTGGCGAAGTAGATTTTCTTCTTAAAAGGTATGTGTTTTGTTCCTGTTATTTTATTTTGGATGAACCAATCAAGAATTGACATTGCTGCACTCTGGGCATTCCCACAAGTGCTCTGTCTCCTGAATTGCTAGTGAAGAGTTGCATGTTAATAACACCAGTTGCTACCTGTTTCCCCTTCAGTTGAATTCCTCTTTCAGTGAATGGATTCTGTGTCTGTTCTGTTGCATGTCCATTTAATCCCAGAGAGCATTCACCATGCCCTCTGTATCATATAGTAGATCACCGCCCAAAGGAGTTGCAGCAACCAGACTAATTTTGTTGTTGTTTAAATTCAGGTGGTAAAGTTGTTAGTGCATTTTCCAACTGACACAGTGATCTGGGCTAATCTTCAGAGACAGCAGAACCGATCCCGACCAGTGCAGTTCTAGGGAGGGGTTGACCCAGCTTCATATAAATGGTACCTGGATAAGTTTGAGAGTTTGCTGGGAATCGCCTAAGAAGGCTTAGCCCCTGACAAATTTTCAAGGGATTTTGGGGCACCAGCCCCTTACAAATATTCTTGGGAGGGAGGGAGGTTTTAAGGGGCCTTAGTTTAGTCTTGTTTAAGTAAATAATAATAAGAAGAATAATAATGTGCAGAATGGCAAACAGATTATATCTTTTGTTTGAAATGTACAAAGTACTTGAAAGAGAGCCCCTGTCTAAGGTGGAATGGGGTGGTTTATTCTGGATTAGGAGCTGCAAACACACTTTATAATTCCATGGTGCAGGTTTGATCCCAGCTGTGGGCTATTTTATAATTTTGGAGACCGCCTTGTGTTGATTTCATTAGTGGTTTAAAGAAAAAAATTGTTTAAGCAAACTGTTTAGCAGGCAGTGACAAACTACTGAACGTAACATTGCCCAGTTAAATCACAAACAGCCCCCCCCCCCCCCCCCCCCCCAAATGCTGGGGTCGGTTGGGCAGTGTCCTGTAAAGGTCACCAAGCTTAAAAAAAAAATTGTCATACTGGGACAGAGGGCTTTGGTGCCTTAGAAATGTTTGATGGGAGGAGGGCTTAGAATGTCTATACAGATGGTGAATCAAGAATCGACATCACAGCACTCAGGACACCTCCATAAGCACTTTGTCCCCATCTTCAGGAGCCAGCGAGGAGCTTCACTTCTGATAGTACCAGTAACTCTCTGATTGTACATCCATCTTGCCTTTCCCTTGAGTGTTGAGTATCGGCCAAATCCCCTGGTAACTCATCTGACTCCGGGCTCCCACTCTCATATTTCTATGCCTTCTTTTCTCTCCATTTCCTTATCTCCTGTTCCAACTCTCTCCGTTGCCACTTGAAGATGGTATCTTATCAATCACAGAGCACGCACTCTGTAGCTCCGGAGATGCGTCTGTACAGTATGGGGCTAGTATGAAAGACAATACCAATGAAGGCAGAACATGTTTTCACTGTTTTCTTTTGTGTGTTTATGTGGGCTAAAAACATTAGAATATCTTTTTTTTTCTTCTATTAAAACCATTGAAGACTTGGGCAAACAGTAAAAGCTGACATCACAGTGACACTGTCCGTCCTCCCGGACACACAGAAAAGACGAGCTGCTGTACCACCTCACATCCACCCTGTATCCACACTCCGGCACATCCTGACAACCTGTGTCAACATCCGAGAGCCACCCAGCAAGGTCGGTCATCCTAAAATATCTGCACTTCACTCATTGGTTATATCATTAACTGAAGTGTTATCAGTTAGTTTTAGTCTTTAGCTTTTGTCAGTTAGCATTAGACTTTAGCTTTTGTCAGTTAGCATCAGACTTTAGCTTTTGTCAGTTAGCATCAGACTTTAGCTTTTGTCCGTTAGCATTAGACTTTAGCTTTTGTCAGTTAGCATTAGACTTTAGCTTTTGTCAGTTAGCATCAGACTTTAGCTTTTGTCAGTTAGCATCAGACTTTAGCTTTTGTCCGTTAGCATTAGACTTTAGCTTTTGTCAGTTAGCATCAGACTTTAGCTTTTGTCCGTTAGCATTAGACTTTAGCTTTTGTCAGTTAGCATCAGACTTTAGCTTTTGTCAGTTAGCATTAGTCTTTAGCATTTGTCTGTTAGCATTAGACTTTAGCTTATGTCAGGTTACATAAAATTACCATGTTTGCTAGAAAAAATAAGTCCTAGGAGAGTGTTTGGGATGTTTTTAACATAAGCCCTACCCACACACAAAAATAAGCTGTAGCTAAAATCATTCAGATCTACTCAAGATCGATGGCTGTGTTATCAGTGCACTACAAGCAGGCTGCATGGACAAGAAATGCTCATTTCAAGAAAGCTTGATTGCTGGTCATGAGAGACTGGGGACAATGGTTCTACCAGAAATGGAGTCGCCAGAAATGTTGGCGGAATTTTGGGATTTGGGGAGCTTTGGAGATCTTCCAGAAAAAGATAACATATCTATTTGAATAAATGTAGATTTTGTATCTGAGAAATTAAATATCCCCAGAATGTTGAATTAGGAATCAACATCATAGCACCAGGAATACTCCTATAAGTGCTCAGTCCCCATCTTCAGCACCAAGCAAAGAGTTCCAACTCTGATGGTACCAGTAACCTTTTGATTGTATATCCGTCTGATTGTATATCCATCTCATCCTTCCCTCGAGTGTTAAGTGTCAGCCAGATCCCCTGGTAACTCCTCGCAGCGCCATTCTCCTTGGACCGTAATGATCTATCTGCGCCTCTGTACTGTTCACTTGCTCCCAAAGGGCCCTCACAGTATCTAACTATCTTTTGACCGAGAGGGGCAAATATCGCAGCCATGCTTTAAACATGCATATTATGATGTTTTACACCATCTTATGAAACAGAAAAAGAAGAATGTATGAGAACAAACATATAAGAAACTTGTGATTGCAACAATGGGCCTGAAATCTCATGCCGACTTAGGTTCTTTATTAATATCCCACCCCGGATGGCATCACAGGACAGTCCAACATTTTAAAGGGTGGTAAGACTGGGTTTCCCATCTTTCTGATGCTTTTAACGACCCCAAAACATCTAGAACTGGCCCTAACCAAAACCCACCTAGGTCCCACGGCTGCATCCAGCCTAGGTCCTACGACTGCATAAAGCCTATCTACCACCCCCTGAAATATTAGACTATCCTGTGACTCATGGATTTCCTCTGTTTGGGGTAGGATATTAATAAAGCACCCTTTCTTATTATGGAAGATTTTTTTTCAACACAGGCTGGTCTTGCTAGAAACACTCGCCATATTTTTTCCAGGCATTTTTAAGAGCTCTCATCGAACACACAAGTGATGAGCGTGAGGTGAGACGCATGCAAGAGTTGTGTAGCAAAGAGGGAGCCCAGGAGTACACCCACTTGATTCGAGAGGCAAATGTGTCTTTGCTGGACTTCTTGTATGCTTTTCCTTCTTGTAATCCTCCAGTGGAGACTTTATTTGGTGAGTTTGTGGTCTTGTGTCTTCTTCTTCTTTCTCCTCTTCTTCTGTCTCTTTTTCCTCTTCTGTTTCCTCTTCTGTCTCTTCTTCTATGTGTTCTTCTCTCTCGTTTTCTGTCTCTTCTGGTCTGCCTTCATGAATTAATGACCCTCTGAAATAAGCTTATAACAATAGAAAACATGCTTTGGATAGATGGCTCTAGAGAATGATAGGTAAGGATCAAACTGTACATCACTAAAGCACAGTTTTGCATATAAAGTGATATTTATATATTCCCAAACATATATTACATGGTATATTGTCACAGGTATTCTAAAAGTACATTGAAACCAGCTGTAAACTCTGGCGGAAAGTTCTGGCTGTTCGTCCACTTCTGGACTTTAGTCAGGGTTATTTGCGCATCCATTTTACAGATCTGACTTATCTGTATGCATACTGTTAGTTCCTCAACTCTCGGGTAGATGCACTCCAACTTTGAAGGAAATACCTAAATTAGTCATCTTTTGCCTTAGGGAAGTTGGTGTCTGTGCTTAGGCATTGCGAACAAGCTTTGTAATGCCGGGGTGTTCGTTTTCAACAGTAGTACAGAGAGCTGACCTTTCAGAGGCAATGGCAAACTACTGAACGTAAAATTTGCCTAGAAAAACCACAACAGCCAAAAAATTCTGGGGTTGGTTCTGAAACGTCCTGTAAAGGATACACAGCTAACTTGTTGTTAGAAAGGCAGTAGATCCCCCCCCCCCCCCCCCCCCCCCCCCGCCCATCCCTGGCTTTTGGGGGGTTTTGTTTGTTTGTGTGGGCACCCACAGTGGAACCATCGAACCCACCCAAGGAAAATGTGTGTATAATGTTTACATATACTGTAAAAGTTAATCATAATGATTTTAATGTGCCGTATTCTTTAATGATTCTCAGTAAATGTTACCTTGCAGTTGACTATTAAATCAAAATAATTCTAGTGACATATTCTAATAATGTAGCCCCTAAGTCCTTTTTGGTTAGACAATGCCTGTCTGTGGTTATTGTATTCTTTCTAGTTTATTTAAAAATTGAGTTTGTTTTATTGTATTTTGGTTTCAGTTTTTTTAAGATTCTGTTTTCACATGAATTCTACTTTTTTTTTTGCCACAGAACATCTGCCAAGACTTCAGCCCAGACCGTATTCTATTTGCAGGTAGGTTTTGATAGAGAATTGTTTTGTTCCTTAGCTGGAGTTTAAGTTTTACATTGTTAGTCACAGACTGAGATATTAGTTTCTTTACCAGCTGAAAGTCCACTTGAACATGTTGAATGTGTAAAATTACTGTTTGTTTAATAAGTTCCTTGTGTGCCATCATTTTTAACCAGTTTCAAGTGTGTTGTTTGTAGCAGATCCCCCCCCCCCCCCCATCTGTTCAACAAGTTGCCCACGCGCAGGCTTTTTTCATCTATTTTAACAACTTGTAAATGTACATCATCTGCGGCTTAGGTATTGTGAACGGGCTTCATAATGCCGGGTTCGATCCCTGCTGCGGCTTTGCACCTCACGTTGGTTTCGTCAGTGGCATCAGGAAGCCGACCGCCCAGAGAGCAATGACAAACTATACTGGACGCACATTTATTTGCACACAAAAACCACAACAGCCAAAAAATGCTGGGGTTGGTTCTGCAACATCCTGTAAGGGAGACGCAACTAAAACTAACTGAGTGTGCAGCACATATGGTTCCCCTCCTTGCATGTTTAGTAGGTTTCTCAACAATTTATTTTGCTTTGTGGGTTCCAAAGAAAACACTTTCTAGCCATACCATTATCAGGTGTTTTTTTTCTATATCTATCCTATCTTGCACCAGTTTCTTTTTCTCTCACCTCTTGGCTCAAGCACTTGAAATTCATGGCCAAGTATTAGGGTTTATTTAAAAAAAAAAATTATTATTTCTCCGCATTCATATTTTGTCCCCACCCCTTTTATATAATGTAATAGCAAAATAAAATTTAAAAAAATTTGAGCTCAAATATTACAGAACACTAAGAATGTCTTGGGTTCAGAATAAGAACAGTACTGCGATTTTACAAGGTGTGGACATCAAAAACATCTGGCATCATGTCTGGAAAAATTGAAATACTTTGGCCATATATTAAACACAACATTTGTTTAGAAATAACAGAAGGCCTGTGAAGAAAGTAGGGGCCAGCCAAGACAGTAGTAACACAGGACATTGACTCTGTCACCCCGAGAAGCTAAATCTAGTCACCTCCGGTTGTGACACAGCGCTTTAAACCCAGTTACCTGTTCGTGAAAAGCATAGCTAAATGCCAATAGTTTTTTTTTTTTTTTTTACACCTACATAGTGTTTAGGATTCACGGATGTTAATATATTGACTAAATATAGCATTTGTAGGGGTTTCCTTATAAGTTCAGTAGCTTTTTTAAAGCCAGTTTGACTTAAAAATTTTCTGTAGAGGTCACAGGGTGACTGCGTGGGTCACCCGAAACATATTTGTTTTAGTCCTGCAGATTGTGTTCTGTTTAATAACTCTGTTTATTTCTAAAATTTTACAAATTGTGGATAAATCAGTTTGTCAACAGTTTGTCAACCCTGCCCCTCCTTCCTGGTACCATGCCTTCTGCTATTTTTTCCAATCCATCGTGGCGCTTGATATGACCAAAATATTTCAGCTACCGAGACAGGAGGCTGTTTATTAGCCGATCTTCCTTGGTGTTCAGATCTTTCAAGATGTCAGTATTTCTCCTCTTCTTTGTCCAAGATATTCTAAGAACCTTTCTATAGCATTTTAGCTCTAAAGTCCCTATTCTCTTTCTCAAGGACTGGGAGATAGTCCACGACTCACATCCGTATGTAGCCACAGGGAAGATGCAAGCTCTTAAAATTCTAATTGTGATCTTCTTGCTGGTGCTTAACCATAGACTTTTTAGGCTGTTCAATCTCTGCATTGCTACGGCCATCCTCCTTTTAATTTCTGTCAAACAAAGTCTCCATTTCTATTTATTATAGCGCCTAGATATTCAAAGTTTGTGACATTTTTAATTTGGCTTCCATGATAAGTTTCTTGGGATATTAATGTAGTAGTTTGCCCTTGCTTTCCACATCCACATGGCTTTAGACTACGTCCTCAGCCTTCAGCAACCTTTTCGATTTCTAGGGCAAGTGAGTGCCCTGCTCTGTGATGCTCCTGCTAACTTATCCCGGCAGATACTCCGTTCCCATATCTGCCAGTGTGTTTACCATCATCTACTGCCTGGAGGTGCAGTTGGGGTTTTCTTTTCACTGTCTTGGGACCAGAATGACATTTCCCAAAACTCTTCCATACTTTCAGAGTTTATTTGTTACCTGCATAAAAAATAGTTAAAGGATTTTTTTCAGAAATGCCTGTGGATTCATAACCCTTTTAGTTTTTTTGTTTGTTTGTTCAACATTTGCAGGCCAAAAGAATTAAAATCATCTGGGCACTGAAAATGCATAAGGCAAGGAAACTGATGGAGTGTATAGACACTTTCTGTTGGGTTGTAATGAGAGCAACATCTTACAAAGAACCTCTTTACATGGTGGTGTTTTATAACAGTTGATAGATGCATGCAGGAGGAAACACTTTGCCTGCCAGCCTGAAGGTCTTGGGTTTGATTTTGCACAGGATGGATCTCTAAACAAATTGAGCTTGGCTCCGAGGTTGAGGCAACTTTTAGTGGGTACCTTGAAATATCCTCAGAAGTAAAGGCGGCCGGCACGATGTGACTGCACCACCCATCAAGTACTGGTTGGTCTATGATACTGTACATTGAGCATCATATGCCCAGTCTGCCAATTACGTGAAAAGGGCTGTTTACTTTTATCTTCATTTACACAATCGTGGCTGTACCCACCAGGCGATACTGGGGTGAGAGGAAATGAAAGAGCTGACAAACTGGCCGTGTCTGCAATAGTTAGTGAAGGAACAATTATGGACAGGACAGACATACTGGATGTGCTGTGTTCCAGAGATGTTGCGACAAAGGAATCAAGAGACGATGAACTACCTGTTGGAAACATGTAATAAATGAGAACAGGCATGCAGAAACTGCTTTCAGGCTGGTCAACTCCTGCTGGAAACGGTGAGCATGGAGACACTGAGATGTCTGCTGAATTAGAGTGTGTAGCACGAGTTGGTCAGACCTGAGTGCTATGATGACATATAATAAGTAGTAGCAAGGATTTACACAGTAGAGTTCTGGTTGTTTACCCACTTCTAGACTTCTGGTCTTGTTTAAGAGCTTTACTTGTGTTTGCAAATTAATTCACATCCGGTTTATTTAAATGCAGACTGTTGGTTCCTTACCTCTCAGGCAGATGCACATAAACTTCAAAGAAAGCCTTCCTCAATTTTTTTTTGTTTTTTGTTTTTAATATCCAGAAACCATGAGTTGTTAACCCTTTGGCTCGGTACTATGGATATTGCAACCCTTCGGCTTTGATTCTATGATAGATACTGTAAATCTGGGAGAAATGTGGCTTTTCTGTCTACCCCCGGGCGTAAACCCAGACCACAAGGAGTTCATCACCCGGTCGCAGCGAAGTCAGGTTTAGCCATCCACGCTAGCGAGCTGGGCTGCACCCCTAAATAGGTCAGACGAGTGTGCTGGGATGTCAGTGCAGATAATAAGTAACAAGCATTTACACAATGGAGTCTTTTTGTTTGTTTCATTCCAGTTGTCAAGAGATTAATGCCACCACCACTGATATTGTCTTTAACGTGGTGGAGATACCAGCAGACAGAGAGAAGTGTCACCTATACCAGAGACGAGGAGTCTGTACCGGCTGGCTGGATGACATCACTTCCTCTTTGCAGTCTGGGAAGCATGAGGATTTAGTTGAGGTATTGATCGCAGCTTTCTTTGTCATCATCATCATCATCCTCCTCCTCGTTAAATGTTATAAAGTTCACAGTCCTTTTCTTCTTTCTGTTCTGTCCTTTTGAATTAGGAATCAACATCATAGCACTTAGGACACTCCCATAAGCGCTCAATACTCATCTTCAGCAGCATGTGAAGAGTTCCAGTTCCGATGTAGTAACTACAGATGTACAACTACTGATCTGTTTGTAACTGCTGCTTCTGTCGATGATAAACTGCGTTCCTTATGTCTGACTGTTTGTGTTAGCACATCTGATGGCTGCCTGCCTGATGCTTTTAATGCATGTGTATGCTAGTGTGTATGCTGACAAGTCTGTGTCAATTTTTCCACAAGGGACAGTGATGGACATTCTGTGTGTTTTTGTTAGCACAGGTGCGGAAGCAACTATGGGGTGACCCGTTTGCTATGAAGCTGAAATTAAGATTACCAGATTACCTAGTGGATTAGTGAGATATTATGGGGTTTTACAACATGATAAAAACATTATGAACAAAAGCATATTTATGTCTTTGAAGAAATTAACAAGTTCTGTTTATATTAATTTGTCTCAGCATAAATAAATTTACATGTACATTATAATTCATAATTTTTGTTTATAAGAAATATCATTTTTTTTCTTATTCTTAATATAAGATGTGTTCATTTAAAACCTGTTTAAGTGGATTTAATATAAAAGCATGAAAGAAACATCACAGGTATGGCACAATTGAACAAAGCATTAATTTTGAATGAACCGACCAGCAGGTGCCACGGAGGTGGAAATTCGGCAATTAATTCAAGATAATGCTCGCTCAGAGGATTTGAGATTATTTACACAGATGTGTCAAAAGGCAAAAGAAGTGCTTGGGGTTTCTTGGTAAAAGTTAATGGTCAATGTTTGGTGCAGGAGAGCCTAGCATATGATACCAAAACATCCAGCTTAAGAATGGAGGTGGAGGCGGTCACTGCAGCTTTCCGCTGGTTAGAGAATACGACACAAACACATTGTGATTGTAACTGACTCAGACAACATGCTTAGGAAGGTCAGGTCATGCAATGCATACTTGGTGTAGAGTGGCATGCTTCGCTGCGGAGGACACAGGTGAGGAGTGTTGTCTGGACTTTTTCACCAGGACTCGCCGGTGAGTTGGGAAATGAACAGACAGACGGACTGGCTGGCTCTGAGCTACTTGGTGGAATACATGATAAGGCAGACGTGCTTAGTGTCTTGTGGGAGAGTGTGTACAGTTCCGAGGAGCAGATGGATTACCACAGTCTGGTGAGATTGATGCAGGGGAAAGTGACGAGAGGTTCTGGCAGATGCTCGAGGCTCAGAGGAAAGGCAAGAGGGACATTTAATCAGAATGTTACTGGCACCATTAGTATCGGAACTCTTCACTGGCTGCTGAAAATGGGGACGGAGTGCTTATGGGAATGCCCAGAGTGCTGGATGTCGGTTCTTGAATCGATTCAACTCAACTCATTTTAAATGAATTATGCACCATGGGTTGGTCAGAAAAAAAAGGACCATAGGCCTTCAGGCGAGCACCCCCATGTTTTTGCTTAGGTAGGCGAAACACTCCCGCACTGCTCAGTACTGAACAGCCCTCTTGGGAAAACCCGATTCTTCATCGCTTTTGTTCAGTCACAAGTTAACTATTTATCATCATCATATGCAATCATCTCATAGCCGCACAGGACCCTGACAGCCATTCGATACTGCAGTTTGTTGAACCACACAGTACATAATTTCCTTTGTTGAACGTGATCTTGTCATAGTCATGCTCATCGTCCCATGATGCATATTCTTTCTCTGACTGCTGAGAAAACGGGTGAGATTGTCCAGAATCTGTCAACAGACACTCAACAAGTGGTTATTAAGTTTTTCATTTGAAGGATGTTGACCAGTGGACAGTCATCGAAGAATGCAGACAGCGCACAGTCAAGATTGTCCAGAATCTGTCAACATACACTCTACAAGTGGTTATTAAGTTTTTCATTTCAAGGATGTTGACCAGTGGGCAGTCATCGAAGAAGGCAGACAGCGCACAGTCAAGATTGTCCAGAATCTGTCAACATACACTCAACAAGTGGTTATTAAGTTTTTCATTTGAAGGATGTTGACCAGTGGGCAGTCATTGAAGAATGCTGACAGCCCACAGTGAACAGAGGTGTGTCGCAGATAACTGACAGACTGGACATGAATGTTTCAGAAAGGATGTGAGCTCATGACAAATCTTCCATGGCCGGGTCATGCTTGTAAAGTTGCAATGTAAAAACGCCATCACCAGAATTGATGCAGCAGTGCAGACAAACCGTTGTCAAGCACATGGTTGCTAGTGACAGAATTTGATGTCTCAATGACAGTTCAGAAAGATGTTTTTTGAAGCTGCAATATCAGGTGTGTTCATAGAGGGTACCAGAGATGTTGACCAACCATCACAAGGAGGAACACATGGTTTGGTAAACAGCTACAATCTTTTTTTTTTGTGTTCACATCATTCACTGCTTACCTAAGCAATGGGACTTTTGTCTGAATGCTTATGGTAATTCAAAATGAATACTTTGTTTAATTCTGTCACACATATTGAAGTTTCTTTCATACTTTTGTAATAAAGACATAGGAAATGGTTTCAAATGAATGCTCCTTATATTTATAGTTCTCAAACATTGTTTCAAATCTCTCTAGATTCCCATTTTCTTGAGAACCAACCAGCATTTTCGGCCACCTGATGACCTGGCAAAACCCTTAATCATGATTGGTCCAGGAACTGGTGTAGCACCATTTATTGGTTTCTTACACCAGAGAGCTTTTCGGCGAAACCTACTGACCGATGGTCAAGTGTACGGAGCAACCTGGTTATTTTTTGGATGCAGGAACAAAGATAAAGACTTCATTTTTAGGTATTATAATGTTCTAGCATGTTCTAAGTTTATTTATTACCCTTAAAAAAGGTGGAATAAAAATAACAAGAGAAAGGAAAAAGTCAACAAATATTGTTATGTGTAGGACATGCTGCTTCAGCAGGAGAAGAAATTGTGGATCTTCTAACGGGGTCCATAAAGGAAGCCAACAGATATTACACTGTACCCTTCTTTTTGTCTATGCCCTGTGGTGTTGGTAGTCGTATCTGTCCACAACCTTTGTTCTCGTGAACTTTCAGTCATCTGTAACATAGATGATCTCCCATGCTATGATGTCAGACTGTCCAGCATCTTCACTTTTGGTCTCCTTGTGCCTTTCTTCCCCTCCAACTTACCTACTGTCACGATGTACTCCAGTTTTCTCCTTCTCACTACATGACCAAAGAATGTAGATTGTCTCCTAATAATGTAGGCAATCAGTTCTCTTCATGAGTCTTTCAAGACGTCTTCGCTTCTTTAAAAAAAAAATTAAATGGAATACATTCCCCAGGATCTCTCACGTGCGTGTACAGACACAGATGTGTGTGTATGTGTGTATATATATATATATATATATATATATATATATATATATATATATATATATATATATATATATATATAGGTTAGTTGCGTATCCTTTACAGGACGTTGCAGAACCAACCTCAGCAGCTCCTGGCTGTTGTATGGTTTCTCCAGGCAAATTTGCGCCCAGTAGTTTGCAATTGCTTTCTGTACGGTTGGCCGCCTGATACCACTGTCGAAACCAATGCAAGGCGCATGGCCCGCAGCTGGGATCGAACCCGGCATTACGAAGCGTTTGCATCGACTTAGCCACAGAGTCGACAATATATATAAATATATGTGTGTGTGTGTGTCTATGTATCAGGTGATTCTGTATCATTAAGGCTGTGGGGAAATTTATTATCACTGTGGTTTTAAAAAAAAGGGCTATTTGTTCCACAAGAAAAAAAACCCAAAATGTTGTTTTTCCTTTTCATGGTGTAGTGTTTGTAGTGTAGTGTTTTTAACAAAGTATTCATAATGTAGTGTTCCTGGTGTAGTACTCGAGATGTAGTGTTGATAATTTACTCAATTCATTTATTTCCTGTTTTGCAGAGAGGAGATGCATCAGTTCAAAGCTAATGGAACACTTTCACATTTGTGTGTGGCTTTTTCTCGCGATCAACCAGCCACGGACACTGTCTTTCAGTCACCTCGCTATGTTCAGGACTTGCTACGTTCAGTGGCTGAAGAAATTGCTGATCTTCTAGTGGAATCTGAAGCTGCTGTATATGTTTGTGGGGATGCAAAAAATATGGCCAAAGATGTCAGTGGTGCATTTGAAGACATTCTTCAGCGAGTGAAAGGTGAGCAAAGAAAAAGGTTTTTGTGCAGTTAAGTTATTGCAGTGTTAACTGAGGTAGGAAAGGGGGTTCTTAAAAGCTATATAGAATGAATCCTGGTTTATAGAAGTGAATCATGGACAATTAGCCAATTAGTGAAAAATCATTTGGATACTGCAGAGAAATTATTATATAGGAGAATAATTACACCATGGCCGGACACAGCGATGCTGTCTTGAAAGAAATTAACACAGACACACACGCACACACCTGCGTGAGCACACACACACAAAGTGGTTACATTCATCACAAGACGTCAGACTATATTCTTTGGCAATATCATGAGAAGAGGCATATTATAAAAAGAGGCAGGGGTTGCTCAGCACAATGATGGTCACAGGAAAATGAAAATAAAACAAAAAAACACACCCTGGACATAAAAATTTATGAGAGAAACTGTTATAGTATTTAGTTTTTCAGAGGACAAAGATATGGGAAATAGGAAGGAGGGGGGGGGGGGGGGGGGGGTGTGAAAGGGATTTTATGAAAAGGTCATTCATGCATGATGATCCCCTTCTTTTTAGCTGCCTCACCAGCTGTAACTGCACCAAAGAGATCTGGTTGTTCGTCCACTTCTGAGCTGAATTCTTGTTCCGGAACTTGAATTTTGCATGCTGTTTTTCAGGTCTGGCTTATTTGTATGCACTGTTGGATCTTTGCCTCACAGGCAGGTGGGCTTCGACTTTGGAGGAAAAGTCCCTAATTTGTCCCCTTTTACAACATGCATTGTTAGGGAAGTAGGGGGTATCTTATCTCTATCTTGCTCTTTTTTTATAATCTTGTTGCCAGTTGTTACCAAGTTCTCGAGTCTGTTCTTTCTCCTTACATGCCCCCCCCCCCCACCCCCCAACAAAAGAGAGAGAAACTCAGGCTATCTATGTCTAATTGTTCTCAGAAATTTATGATGAAGGGGGCTACTTCATTTGTCTGAGTCCGAAGAAGCTCAGCACAATGCACAGGCTCTGTAGCACTGGCGAGGATCCTGAAATACTTTGGGTAGATTTTTAACCGCAAATTTTGCCGTTAGGCTACTCTTTTCAATTTCCGACTGCCAAGAGATTTTTTACGTGCACAACAATGCACACGGGCGTCTGATCTGACTACCCAGAGACAATTGGGAATTGCCAGAAGTCCAAGTCCACATGAAAAAATTCCAGCTCTTACCCGGGATTGAACCTGGAACCTCTAGCACTCGAGGCGGGCACCATGCCTCGAGACCATGCAGCCCCGCAAGGACCCAATTGTGGTGGGGAAAAAAGACAAGACCCACTGCACCCTAACAAGCACATTAGTAAGAATCTGCTAATTAGGAGTGTTTCCTTCGAAGTTGGAGAGCATCAGCCTGAGAGGCGTGGAACCAGCAGTCTGCATACAGATCTGATAAATAGATGTGCACACAAGACTCAGGTTCTGCAACAAGACTAAAGTTGAGAAGTGTATCAGCAGCCAGAACTTTCTGCCTGAGTTTACAGCCGATGAATGCTTAAATGAAGATTTCATGCCATTTTTTAAAATTCTTCTCAAAAAACAACATGAGTAAAGTTTTCAGCTTGTCTGCTGTTTGTCCATTGTCCACGCTAACCAAGATTTTGATTGTCCTGCAAGAATCTGTGGTGCTTTCCTAATACCCTACCCAAAACAGGGTAAATCCACAGGTCACGGTAGAGTCTAAAATTTCAGGGGGTGGTAGATGGGCTGCATGCAATTGTGGGGCCTAGGCGCATGCAGTCGTGGGACCTAGGCGGCACTCTCTTGTGGGACGAAGGTAGGATGGGGTTAGGGCCAGTTCTAGATGTTTTGGGGTCGTTAAAGGCATCAGAAAGACGGGAAACCCTGTCTTACCACCCTCTAAAATGTTGGACTGTCCTGTGACCTCATCTGGGGTTGGTTATTAGTAAAGCACCAAATCTATTGTTGAGACTACACAAATTATGTTTTCTGTTTTCTGATCTCTTCCAGGTCTTTCTCCGGATGAAGCTCATATGTTTATGATGAAGAAGAGGATCCACAAAACCTATTTTGAAGATGTCTGGGTATGAGACTCGTGGTGCCTTCTCAGAGAAAAGCCAAAACAGGCCAGATAATGAGACTGCTATTGCACCATCAGCATTGGAACCCTGGGCTGGCTGCATAAACTAGGAGACTGAGCACTTAAGGGGTATGTCCCAAGGGGGACTGAGCACTTGTGGGGATGTTTTGAGTGCTGTAATGTTGGTAACTCAACTCAGCTTATGGTGCTTATGCAAGATCAATGTTCTTTGTGAACCAAAATGCAGAAATTGATCTGTATGCCGTGGTATATATGTGCATACAGGTCAGGTCTCAACAGTCGGCCAGCCATACCATATTTATTAAGGTGAAGGACTCTATCTATGCCATTCGTGCGGATAGAATGTCATAGATATGAAGCAACCCTCATCGTCATAATTATGTGCCGTGACGGTAAGTGTAGGCTGTCATGTTTCGCCGTCTCACACGATCACCTGAATGGCAGATCAGATCAATGTTTTTGCCGCACCCCATCTATGTGACCAGGCCATGCAAGTCTTTTTTTTTCTTTGCCTGCCCTTTACTTTCTTCCTATCAGACTCGCCAGTTGTCACAAGTTCTTAAGGTAATGATATTCTTAGCATTCTTCTCAAAAACCACATCACTGCCACGAGTAAATGTTTGCCAGCTTGTCTGCTTATTGCCTATGTCCTATGCATATATCAACACAGGTTCTGTAGAGCTTTAACACTTTTTTCTTACTGCAGTTGATGTCTTCTTATCGGCTAGTATCTTTTGCTTCTTGCTAAAATCCACCTTTACCATGGCAATTCTTGTTCTAATTACTGCCTTTAAAAAAACAAAAGCCACCCTACAGGCACATGTTGATTATGTAATTTGTAATTTTTGTGTCATCTTTTGTCTGCTTCTGAATTCTGGGATACCTGGTTTGATTCTGTCTTGGGGTGATTTAGCAACGTCGCTTTGCACTGATATTGACAAGGGTATCGAGAGACATCAGCATCTGTAGCTTATGCGTTGCGGACGTCCCAGCTGCGGATGATTTGTCTTGCATTGGTTTCGATAGTGGTACCAATAAGTGACCTTTCAGGAAGCATTGGCAAACTACTGAATGTAAAATTTGCCTAGAAAAAAACCAAACAGCCAGATATTGCTAGGGCTGGTTTTGCAATGTTATGTAAAGAATACACAACTGACTGATGATGAGCTGTTCTTCAAAGTTTAGTCACATAAAATGGATATGGATGTCCTGTGGCAGATACTGCCATTAGACTCCTGTGTTGTAGATGTCATAAAAAACCAATTAACATGTTTCCTTTAAAGTCAGAGTACATCTGCCTGAGAGGCAGGAACCAACAGTTTGCATACTTGTCTGTAAATCAGATGTGTATACAAAATGCAAGCTCTGGAACAAGACCAAAGTCCTGAAGTTAATGAAAACCAGAACTTTCCACAAGAGTTTACAGCCAGAGAAAAGAAGAAGAGGAAGAAGAAGACTGTCCTTAGATTGTGGAATGTTAGGCTGTGCTCTTAGATTGTGAATTGTTAGGCTGTGCCCTTAGATTGTGAAATGTTAGGCTGTGCTCTTAGATTGTGAATTGTTAGGCTGTGCCCTTAGATTGTGAAATGTTAGGCTGTGCCCTTAGATTGTGAAATGTTAGGCTGTGCCCTTAGATTGTGAAATGTTAGGCTGTGCCTTAGATTGTGAAATGTTAGGCTGTGCCCTTAGATTGTGAAATGTTAGGCTTACTTTACCCTAGACAAGTGATGTAAGGCACGAGTCAAGCATTTTACTTTCTTGTCGTCAGGATACATATTTGATTATAAAATAAGTTCCAGATCATCACAGTGTAGGAGAGGAACTACTGACAACTTTAATATTTTAATGAAAGTGACATTTGTATGTGAAGTAATTTTGTTTTTGTTGTTATTCCTATGTATGCATTTTTACATAAAGAATTGTTGTATTTTTTAAAATGAAATATTGTGATTATACAATTAAAGGAATATAATTTTATGAGCAGATTTTGAGGATGGGTGAGAAAACACTTTCTCCTTGACTAATGACCTAACACACTCACAGCCCCAAATAAACTTATCATCAATATAAACAGTAAATAAAGTATAGACAACTATATTATTCTTTGAATCTATCAAGGGGGCTGCGTGGTCTCGAGGCCAGGTGTCTGCCTCCAGTGCTAGAGGTTCTGGGTTCAATCCCCGGTAAGGGCTGGAATTTTTTCACATGGACTTGGACTTCTAGTAATTCCCCCTGGTCTCTGGGTAGTGAGATCGGATGCCCTTGTGCGCATGTAAAATCCCTTGGCCGTTGGAAATTAAAAAGTTTAGCCTAACCGCTCTGCCTGGGCAAAATTTGGAGTTAAAAATCTACCCGATGTTGATCCATTGTTCAAAACCTCAAAGATGCAAACAGTTTGGAATGGAGAGCAAGTACCAACAATGAATTTCATCATCAGCTTAAATCACTGATAACTGGCATTATAAGGGCTAATAGACTAAAATGGCTTGATCTTATTGAGAGAATGTTAGATCACAGAGAGATAACAACGTACACAAGGGAGTTGAATGGTCATAAATCACAAGGCAGACCAAGAAGATGTTGCAGAGATAATATCTAGACAGACCTACAAACATTTGGTGTCGCCAACTGGAAAGAGAAGACCAAACAGAGAGATGAATGGAGGCGGGGGATATCTGCAGCAATGAACCTCAAGGGTGCGGAATGCTAAAGATACATAACTACATCGGTAGGGTCAAAAAGTTTCCAGAACTGATGCAGGGATTAGACATAAGACTCTGTTTGACACTATTGCATATGGCAGATTGTCTGGAGCCACAGGCCTCCCGCGATCTGTGTTTTAGTTACAATTATATAACCTGTGTGAATGAAGATAGTGTTGAAGAAAAAATTCAAAAAATTCACGTATAACCAACCTGTTAGAACACAACTCTGTCTTGAGTTGCGGAGACCCTGTACATCAGGGTTGTTCAGTTGGCGGCCGGCAGGACCAATGTGGCCCATGGAGACCTAGTCAGTTGCCTGCGGATCGTTGCCAGTTCCATTGTTATAATGATCTTTTTATAATGAGGCCCAGACCTCGGGCTTTTTATGATACCTATTTTCAAATGTTGGCCCTTGAGTAAACGTAGTTGAATATCCCGGCTGTATCCCGTAGTTGAATATCCCGGCTGTATCCCGTAGTTGAATATCCCGGCTGTATCCCGTAGTTGAATATCCTGGCTGTATCCCGTAGTTGAATATCCCGGCTGTATCCCGTAGTTGAATATCCCGGCTGTATCCCGTAGTTGAATATCCCAGCTGTATCCCGTAGTTGAATATCCCGGCTGTATCCCGTAGTTGAATATCCCGGCTGTATCCCGTAGTTGAATATCCCGGCTGTATCCCGTAGTTGAATATCCCGGCTGTATCCCGTAGTTGAATATCCCGTAGTTGTAAATCCTGGCTGTATCCCGTAGTTGAATATCCTGGCTGTATCCCGTAGTTGAATATCCTGGCTGTATCCCGTAGTTGAATATCCCGGCTGTATCCCGTAGTTGAATATCCCGGCTGTATCCCGTAGTTGAATATCCCGGCTGTATCCCGTAGTTGAATATCCCGGCTGTATCCCGTAGTTGAATATCCCGGCTGTATCCCGTAGTTGAATATTCCGGCTGTATCCCGTAGTTGAATATCCCGGCTGTATCCCGTAGTTGAATATCCCGGCTGTATCCCGTAGTTGAATATCCCGGCTGTATCCCGTAGTTGAATATCCCGGCTGTATCCCGTAGTTGAATATCCCGTAGTTGTAAATCCTGGCTGTATCCCGTAGTTGAATATCCTGGCTGTATCCCGTAGTTGAATATCCTGGCTGTATCCCGTAGTTGAATATCCCGGCTGTATCCCGTAGTTGAATATCCCGGCTGTATCCCGTAGTTGAATATCCCGGCTGTACCCCGTAGTTGAATATTCTGCCGCACCACTTATTTTTTTCCCCTCGTTTTCTTCTGCTGCTGTTCCTTTGTCCTATGTTTTGTTCTTCACCTTTATTGTCATTTTCTACTTTTTTTTTTTTTATTATTGTCTTTTTATGTGTTCTCATTTCTTCCTTGACCTTACATGAACTTTAATGTAAATTACTCTGATATAGGCAGTTGTTTGCACAAGGTTTTCTGTTTCCATGTTTGTTTTGTTGAAATAGCCTTCTTTTTCTGCATTCGTCCTTTTGGCGAAAGTATTTATTGCTTTCGACAGAATATTGAAAGTGGCTTCGGCTCCCTTGTCGACCCGGCCTGAAATGGGTACAGGGTAAAGTCCCGGGAAGTAAATATGGCTGTCATAATGTAGATCATATCAGCAACCAAGTGCAGACGTCTGTAAAAGATGTCTAACCCAATATGCCTAAAGGTGTGGAAAAGGGTTAAATAATGGGGGGGGGGGGGGGGAAGGTAAGTTGTCCCATAAATTTGAAAAAAGAACACTTAGGGGAAAGACAATATGGACATACAATCAGACTGCGACTGGCACTATTGGAGTTTGAACTTTTCACTCGCTGCCGAAGATGACGGAACCACATATGGTTCATATTCTTTGAAATAACTGGGGTGACAGAAAGTTCTGGTTGTTCGACCGCCTCTGGTCTTTAGACTTGTTCTAGAACCAGAGTGTTGCATGCGCATCCGTTTTACAGATCTGGCTTATTTATATTTTATGCAGACTGTTGGTTCCTTGCCTCTTAGGCAGATGCACTCAAACTTTGAAGGAAGCACCCAGTTTGTCGATTTTTACCCCGAAGTGGGTCTATCCTTGTTTTTCCTTTGATGGGACACTGTAACCGACACGGGGAAGAGTGAGTCAATCTACATACTTTGGTCATGTCATGATTAGGAGAGAAGTGGAGTACATCGTGACAGTCGGTAAAGAGGGTGACCGAGAGAACAGATGCTGGTCAGCGTGACGTCGTGGCATGGAGGATCATCTGTGTCAGAGTTGATTGAAAGTACACGAGAC